GCAACCTCCAACTCTTGGGCATAAGTGATTCTCTTGCCTCAGCCTCCCAAGTACTGGGACTACAGGCACCCGCCACAATGCCCGGCTACAAATCGATATAGCTTTATTCATGCTTTCTATTATTTATTGAGTCAGTTTTGGTAATTTGTGTTTTTCTAGTATTTTATCCATTTCATCCAGGCTGTTAAATTTAGTGACATGAAGTTGTTTATAATCTTTCTTTCCTTCTTTCTCTCTCTCTTTCTTTCCTCCCTTCCTCCTTTCCTTCCTTTTGAGACAGAGTCTCACTTTGTCACCCTTGGTCTCTACCTCCCTATCCTATACTGCCACCTCTTCTATCATGTCATTGCTCACGTGGCATCATAGCTCACGTCAGGCTCAAGCGATCCTCTTGCCTCATCCTCCCAAGTAGCTGGGACTGCAGGTGTCCACCACAACACCTGGCTACTTTTTTAGAGACAGGGTCTGGCTCTTGCTCAGGCTGTTCTTGAGCTCCTGAGCTCAGACAATCCACCTGCCTTGGCCTCCCACAGTGCTGGGATTACAGGTGTGAGCCACCACACCCGGCCCCTTCATTCTTTTAATGTCTGTAGACTCTTTAATGATGCCCTTCCCTCATTCCTGATATTAGTAATTTGTGTTTTCTTTTTCTTTTCTTGATCAGTCTAGCTAGAAACTTATCAATGTGGATAATATAGGTTCACAGATAGTTTTCAAGACCATTCTAATGCAGCCCTCTCATTTTAATGTTGGGGAAACTAGTATTAACCATTCCCATTTGTTCAGAACACGCTTTGATAAGCTCTGCTGGAGCACATGGTAGGTACAAAATATTGGGGAAAAGAGGGAGGTGAATTTCCTTGAGGGAGAGTAAATTATATATATATTCTAGTGGCTGGCTGTGTTCACCATCACTGGAGCCATCTCACAGGGAATTACACAAATTATACAAGTTTATACAGTGCTGATGGTTAAGTTTATTCACTTTAGATAGCTATTAACTCTAGTCTTTCTGACTTAGGTCTATTTCTTTAACAGATGCAATTTAAGTTTCATATAACAACATATTCCCTATAGAAATTTAATACCAAGCAAAAAGATGGCAATTTTCTTATATCCGAACTATAATATCCAATATTTTTCCATGGAGTTATGCATAATTACTACGTGGAAAAGACTTAGCATTAAAGACAAAGCATTAAAGTCAGTTTTATGTGTAATACTCAAAACCTCTTCTCAATCTACTAGTTGGTTAATTGCTTTTCTCTGTGCTGAAAACAGCCTGAGCTTCAGCTACTGAAGGCCACTCTGAGCTCCCGAATTGTAAATGACATTCAAGAACAGCCTTTTAAGGAAAGGAGTCAGAACTAGGAGAATTTTTAAAATAATTCTTAGGCCAGGTACGGTGGCTCACAGCTGTAATCCTAGCACTTGGGAGACTGAGGTTGGGTGGATTGCCTGAGCTCACAGGTTTGAGACCGGCCTGAGCCAGAGTGAGACCTTGTCTCTAAAAAAATAGCCAGGCATTGTAGCTGGCGCCTGTAGTCCCTGCTACTTGGGAGGCTGAGACAAGAGAATCACTTGAGCCCATGAGTTTGAGGTTGCTGTGAGCTATAATGCCACAGCACTTTACCGAGGGTAACAAAATGACACTCTGTCTCAAAAAAAAAATTTTTTTTTTTAATTCCTCATTTAGGCTCGGCGCCTGTGGCTCAAGTGGCTAGGGCGCCAGCCACATACACCTAAGGTGGCGGGTTCGAATCCCCAGCCCGGCCCGCCAAACAACAATGATGGCTGCAACCAAAAAATGGC